ATGATGTTACTGATGATGATTTCGGGTTTAAAAAAACCAGAGAACGACGTAGATGTTTATTTATCGCCATTGATTGAATATTTAAGACTTTTTTGGAAGGAAGGTGTTGATGTTGATGATGCGTATACAGGTGATAACTTTAAGTTGTGTGCCATGTTATTTTGCACAATCAATGACTTTCCTGCATACGGTAATTTGTCTGGGTACAATGTCAAAGGGCATAAAGCGTGTCCTATATGTGAAGGTAATACATGTCACCACCAATTACCAAAAGGAAAAAAAGACATTTTATCTGGGCTATCGAAGATTCCTAAGAGCTAATCATTGGTATTGTAGATCGCGCAAGGCTTTCAACAAAAAGCATGAGTTTCGTATCGCTCCAAAACACTTAACAGGGACGGAAGTTTATAGAAAACAACAACACATTAAAGTTATCTTTGGAAAGAAACAAAAAAAACCCGTAGAGAATTTTTTTTGGAAAAAGAGGTTATGTTCTTCGATCTTCCATATTGGTTCAATCTTGATGTAATACATTGTCTTGATATGATGCACGTGGAGAAAATTGTATGTGATAGTTTGATTGGAACACTTCTCAACATTAAAGGACATACACAAGATACTAAGAAATCACGCGAAGATATGGTTTTGATGGGTATACGAAAAGAGTTAGCCCCAAAAGAAGTAGGAAATAAAATATATTTTCCCCCAGCATGTCACACTCTGTCTAAAAAAGAAGAAAAAAAAGTTTATGCAATTATTTGCAGGGTATCAAAGTTCCCTAGTGGTACTCATCAAACGTGAATAAATTTGTGTCAGAGAGCGATTGCAAATTAATTGACTTAAAATCTCATGATTGTCATGTATTAATGCAACAACTTCTACCAGTGGCTATTCATGGCATCTTACCAAGAAATGTAAGGGTGACTATAACCAGATTGTGCTTATTCTTTAATGCAATATGTAGTAAAGTTATAGATCCTTGAAATTTATATGAATTTGAACACGAAGCTGCAATTATCTTGTCCCAGTTAGATATTTTTTTTCATCCATCATTCTTTGACATTATGGTTCACTTAGTTGTTCATCTAGTAAGAGAGATTAGAATTCATGGTCTAGTTTATTTGTCGTGGATATACCCGGTAGAGCATTTACATGAAGATTTTAAAAGGATATACAAAGAATCATAATCGTCTAGAAGCTTCGATCGTAGAAAGGTACATCACAGAGAAGCTATTGAGTTTTGTACAAACTATTTGTAAGATGCGAACTTTATAGGATTTCTCGAGTCTTGTCGTGATGGATTTTATGATGGTAGAGGTATTCAAGGTTTAAATGTTAAGACATTTAGCCGAGAAGTAGTTTTGCAAGCACATTTGTATATATTGAATAACCTTAGTGAAGTTGATCCTTACTTGATCGCGCACAAAGCTCTTATAAAGGAAAATACCACCGGATAAATGAAAAAGGGTTGTTGACAGAGCATAACAGAACTTTAATAAATTGGTTTAATGAATGTATTTATAATGAGAGTGGTGCATCAGATGATTGCAAATAGTTGTCACATTTGTCTAATTTTAATTTAATTACTTGAAATGCATACGGCATTAGAAAATATTTGTTCTATACAAAATCAAAGGATAATTGTAGCACCATGCAAAATAGTGGTGTTATGGTTGAGACTGAATCCATGTACTTTTATAGTTTCAAAGATAAAAATCCAGTACTAGCATCTAGAGATTTCTTTGGAATGATTTTGGAGATTTTGGAGATTGACTATGTTTCTTTTAAAGTTCCTTTATTTAAGTGTAGATGGATTGATAGTAAAATTGGTGTAGAAACCGATGAATTAGGATTCACAAGGGTTGATATTTGAAAGACAACTTAAAGAACGAACCATTCATCATGGAAAACCAAGATAAACAAGTTTTTTTATGTCACTGATCCATCTAACACTAGATGGTCAATTATTCTTCAAGGAAAACATCTTCTTGATAGTCTTGATGAAAATCAAGATTTTAACTATGAGACTCCTTATTTAGTAACACATGTAAGTCAATCATCTGAAGAAAATAACTTAGATGATATACATGTTATTCGTCGTGATCATGAAGAGGGCATATGGAAAAACTAGTAAGTAAATGGTTTATTGCTTTTGTTTCTTAATCATTTGTTTTAGTTTTAATGTAAAATTATAAAATGTGTTCCATTTTGGGTTTGCATATGATGTAATCAATGAATATTTATGTTTCAGATTAAGGAATAGGCGTTCCATTTTGGGTTTGCATTGGTTTTATATTATGTATTCTGTGGTTCTGTATTTTGTAATTCAGGTGCAGATGACAGTAGAAAAAAATTTATAACCCCTCGGTTTCCCAAACAAACCGAAGTAATAATATTGATATATTACCTCGGTTCATCAAAAAAACGAGTGTTAATAATAGATGCGCCATTAAGTAATGAAAAAAGTGCCGAGCATTGGAATCGAACCCACTTGCAGTTAATGTAACCCCTGGCGTTTTAATACCCGAGGTGATAAGGGATAACCTTTAATGACGCCCTTATTTACCTCGATTCCATAACCGACATCAAACGCATTTCCCATCTGACGTTAGATGAACTTCACCATCTAATTATGTTTGAACCAAAAACCATGACTCTTCACCCCATCCAAGTAAAGCTCCAATAACACGGAAACCATAATTTCTATCAGACTCCACATCTATAATATCTTTAATGTAATCATGTAAGAAAATAGGAAACCGAGACAAGTAAAGATGTCTGCAAGACTTGCTAGATGATTGACTTGATGGAGTTTTACTAAATGATCTATTTATCGTCTACCTTCCTTGTGAGACCTCAACATACTTCCAATGCAAAATATTACAATGCACATCACTCACTTACCCCCCCCCCCCCTTTTACTCTTCTTAACTCTGTTTTTTGGCTTGTATTTCACTGGTAGTGGGTACATGGAAGTTATGCATGGATATGTTAGTTCTCAAACATTTTTATTCATTCCCTTTGGCCAGCGACATCCAAGGTACTGAAATACCTCTTCAACTATTCACATTCTTCTTTTAAGTCCAACTATATACCATTCTCTTCTTTAGTGATTTCATACTCTTCAATATGTAATTTCTTCCAAAACACATTAATGGATTCTAATGGAACAGGATAACCTTATATTTGAATACTTAGAAGGTCACACACACAAGGTAACCCATGTGTTGTCCTATTGAAGCAACCATATGCAACTTTTTCAGAACCAACTAATTTTAACCTTTCCAACTACTTTACAATGTGTTGTTTACTCTGTCTTGATACAAATTCGTTAAACCTCGAGTAAAATGGAGTGTTATACAGATCCTCAATGTTTGAAACACATTTTTGAAACAATTTTTTAATTGTGCCTACTTGCAACTTCAACATGGTGTCACAACATGCCAATATATGCACAAATCTCCTAGACTAGTACTCAAGATTTTTTTTGAGTCTCTAATGAGTTGACTCAACCCTCTAAAACAATAATAGAGAATTATGTAATAAATAAAATGATAAATAGTTGTGTAATAAAATCGAACTCACAAGGATGTGTCTGCTAGTTGTTGTGTTCCCTAAATGAGTGACTCGATTAGTTCATGCATCAATAAACTTTTATATATAGGGTGTCAACCATGTTTGGTGCACATACTCAATAAATTAAGGGATATCAACAATTACTACCTCAAAATGCTACTATTATTTCTCAAATTGTGACTCATTATTCGAATACATGACTTTGTTGCATAGATCCATAACATGCTCTTGCCTATTAGATTCGACATACTCCTTGAACTTCACAGTATTTTTTTTTTAAATATGGACCACATAGAACAGATGAATTTGAGAGCATAAATTTCATGGCATTCATCAGGGAAAGTTCCTGACCCGTCATCATGAAATTGGGAAGAAACTTATCTGATGTGAACAACTTCTTCAACTTCTCCAATGCCTATGTGAAATTGTCCTCCCTTTCATGTTCTAAATTGGAAAATCCAACTGAAAATGTCAACTTCGTTGACGTACCACCAACAATATCAAGTAGTGAGAGCCAATACATGCTTGTTTTATATGTATAGTAAAAACTCAACACCATATGAAACATGTTCAATAACTTCACTAACTCAACAGGTGTCTAGAATATATCAGCAATAACATATGACTCCTCCTTGTTTCTGATCCAGCACGTGTATTTCTCATCATAAATTAATTTCAATATATGTTGCATTTCCATGAATGGACCCATGATGGTAGACCGGTATGCAGATCTTGCCTTATACGCATGTGTTGTACTCGTCGGGTTATTAGGATCTCTATCTTTCAAAGCAGCAACAATGTACCTCAGGGCCATGTGTATTTTGTCATTTCATTCACACGATCTCTTTCATAAGTTTTTAAATGGCCTAATATGTCATGCCAACTAAATTGTTAGCTAGTTCATGAGTATGAATATCACATATAACTGTTACATTCCAACTACTACCACTTGGCACTTACCTTAACATAAATGGACATTTAACTTTTCTACTAAAAGTGTCTTCAGAAGAATTCAGGCTCTTCTAGGCTCCTCCTCTCTCATAACCCATAATCAATTTATCTTTCCTCCCTTTGAGCTCATTTTTTGTATCTGAACAAACAACAACAACAACAATAATACCATGTTGTCTCCCAATAGATTGTGCCCGTGATTACACTTCGACTTGGACGAAACTATCTGTCACTTAAAATATATAATTAAGGATTTATGCCAGAGATACCAAAAGTTGATTACATATATAATTCTAGATATATATTTTAAGGTATTACAATTCGAACTACAACAAATGGGATGAACGTCAACATCATAAAATATAATTTTTTTATATATTCTCTTTAATCCGAAAGCATAATTCATTATTAAAACAAGATCAAGTACTATCTAGTATAAAAGAGTCTTATACTGATATGAATTTGATTGGCCTCTAATGTTGGATGCAATCCATTTGCTTGAAAGAAATCAACTCTTTCTCTATATCAAACCCAATCAAGTAATTTGATTGTGCAAAATTACCATATATGCCTTCCTCTTCAGTTTGGTTATTTATTGCCAAGCAGAAGACACCTTCTTTTGGCGGAACAAAGGTTTGGATTGGTGTTAAAACTACATTTGCATTTTCGAAATGGAATGTAAGATTTGGCCCATTAAGATTACTATTTGTTTTATAACAAAGTTGAGTATCTAAACTTGGATCATCTATAATGGATTCCATTGAAATCTTGTTTCTAACTTCATTAGTCACTCTATCATATAAATCATGAGGCATATAAATTGGCGGTGTCCCTGAATCAATCAACATATTACCCTTTGAAACACCCCCTTTAGAACTCCTTGAGTAACAGAACTGTCTGCATAGCCATAGTTGTAAGTGCAATAGTTTTCAGGAGAACACTCATGTAAGTGAAGGTCATTACAATGAGAAGAATCACATGAAACATTATTATAAGAACAAGATTTTTGAGGATCAAACAAAGGGTTGATTTGTTTGTAGCACCCATCGCATGGTACACAGTTAGTCCATATAAGATCACTTCCTGTATCTGCAACACCAGTTATTTTTATCGGTGGCGTTCCAATATGCACCTCCATGAGATGCTGACCAATATGAGCATGTATAGGGGCTTGTACAAAATTTGGCATATATTTGATAGAGGATTTTCGAAATAGGTTCACGGTTAACCCATCATTTTGGGCTTCAATGCATGAAAAATATGAAAGATGAAACAATAAAAAAATGATGGCTAGGTAAGAAAACGATGGAGAAATCCTCATACTTTCTTGTACTCTATATGTGATAGAAAGTAATAATGTTTTTTATATGAATAAAATCTAGGCTAAGCGATGTGGTTTTTATATACCAATAAAAAAGTTATATCATCAAGTGAGCATTGACGTGTAAATATCATAATCTTATATTATTAACTTAAAGTAAATATTCTTGTATTACCTTACTTTTGATTAATGAAAATAGTTAACTTTGATTTTGTCAAAAAAAAAAATACTTAAAGTGAAAAAGGTATGGCTTAATTAATTCTATTTTAAGTTATTAATATTATTTGTTTTGACTAAATTATATCTATTTCTTAAGTGATATAATTAAATTCTATTTTAATATTATATCTTCCGAAAATATTAAAACCTATATATAAATATAGTTTGGAATTTATATTTGTCTATAGTTTGGAATTTATATTTGTCGATATCTAGCTTTCAATTTCTAAAATCAAGCTTTGAATAAATATTTCTAATTATACATTATTTGATTAGATTTCATAATCCTATTTCTTAAGTGATTTAAAAGAAAATTATTTATGACATAAACTTTTTTACTTAAAATTAAAAAAATAAATATTTTTGACTAAATTGTACATTATTATATATTTTTAAAATTATGTTTTGAATAATAATTAGTGGAATATCCTTGCGTTTGTACAGGTGTCGGTATGGTACGTTCATTTATTTGTAAAATATAATAAAAATAAAATATTTTTTTAAAAAGATAATAAATCGGTTCCTATAAGATTTTCAATATATAAAAAAAAATTAATGAATAATATATATTTTTTATATAAATATTATTTTTGTTTTGAATTGTTGTACACAAATATTTAAACCAATAGTAAAATTGTTCTATTAATATTTAATATTTTGATTACTAATTTCATGTTTCCGCTAATATTCAATAATTTGATCAGTAACTTCATGTTTTCGTTAAAGTTTAGTATTTTGATCAGTAACTTAATATTTTCGTTAATATTCAATATTTTGATCAATAACTTCATGTTCCGTTAATATTCAATATTTTAATCAGTAACTTCATGTTCTCGTTAATATTAAATGTTTTGGTCACTAACTTCAAATTTCCATTAAAATTCAATATTTTGATCAACAACTTCATGTTCCCATTAATATTCAATATTTTGATGAACAAGTTCATGTTCCCGTTAATATTCAATATTTTGATCAACAACTTCATGTTTTTGTTAACATTCAATATTTTGATCAGTAACTTCATGTTTCTGTTAATATTCAATATTTTGATCAGTAACTTCAAATTCTCGTTAATATTCAATATTTTGCTGTAGAATTCTCCTTTCTTAAGTTCTTCCAAACTTTGAACTTTCTCATAAAGTACATGTATTTTATCCTTATTTTTCTTCACGGCATAATTAGTGTCCACTCCTTGAGAGCCCAATGATTTCTCAAGCAAATTATTTCTATTATCTTTGCTTTGCATCTCAGAGACAGAGTTCACAACATCATTCAAACCAACAGAAGATTTTGTTGTTGAATTAACACTCTCCTTCATTAAATTTTTAACTGGAGCGGTTTCTAAATAATGTAAAAATTAGAGGCCATCTGTTTGTAATTGGGGCGGTTTCTAATTACTGAGTCAATTATTTTTTTAACTTTTCTTATTTAGTTTTAATAAAAAAAATTATTATTAACTTCATTTTTCCGTTAATATTCAATAGTTTCATCAATAATTTCATGTTTTCGTTAATATTCAATACTTATTTTAATTACTAACCTCATGTTCCCGTTAATATTCAAGAGTTTGATCAATAACTTCATGTTCCCGTTAATATTAATATTTTAATCAGTAATTTCATGTTTCCGTTAATATTCAATATTTTGATCAGTAACTTCATATTTCTGTTATTATTCAATATTTTGATCAGTAACTTCATGTTTTCGTTATTATTCAATATTTTTGATCAGTTAATTCATGTTTCTGTTAATATTCAATATTTTGATCAGTAACTCATGTTTTCGTTATTATTCAATATTTTTGATCAGTTAATTCATGTTTCCGTTAATATTCAATAATTTGATCAATAACTTAATATTTATGTTAGTAATAATTTGAAATTTGAAATAAATAAATAAAAAAGATAAATAATTGTATGGTCCGAGTCAAATATAAAGTTCATATATGAAAGTATTTCCAATTAAATACTATTAAAATCAGAAATTATAGTAATTAATTATTAATTATCAATAAATGTAAAAAATGTCTTAAAGATAGCATAAACATTATAATATATAAAAAATTTCTATGTTAAAAAAATAATGAGAATTTAAAATTTTATTAATTTATATTAGGATTTGAGTATCCCTGGTACTATTATGCTTATGAATAAAAAAATAAAAAATAAAATTTAATAACTTTATATTTTAACCATTTATTATTATTATTTAACTTTACCATGCATCAAAGAAAATATTATGTTTTTGGATAGAAGAGAAAATATAGACAGGTTCAAAAAAAATTTAAGAGCGTTAGAAAATTTATCTTAAGAAAGAAAATATTATGCACTGTCCTTAATTATATTTTCCATATTTTCTCTTTTGACAAAAGCATAAATTTAAGAATGTTAATAATTCATAAATAGATTTTTTATATTTTCGTTTTATATTTATATCAAAAATAATTGTGTTATTTTCGTTTTATATTTATATCAATAATATTTAGATCAGAAATAGACTTTTTTTCGTATACAAATATAAATATTATAGAGAAAGTTGAACTGTGTTGAAGAGAAAGAAATGAAACATTTTATCGCAGAATAATTCATGTATTTTCACACGTTACTGGTGTATTATCCGTGTGTTAGTGTGGTTATTATAAATAGCAAAATTAATTATTTTTTATATTAAAAATTATTAATAACTTTTTAATTTTCATATAACTGTCATAATAGTTTTTTTTTTTTGCAATAACTACGTTTTTGAAAAAAAAAACCGTAAATAACCATGTTTCGGAGAAAATTACGCAAATAATCATGTTTCAGAAAATCCCACAAAGGAGGAGTCATCTCAATTGGCGCCTACACCTTAATTTAAAGGGGAGGCGCCATCTCACATGGCGCCTAGGTGTTAAAAGTGTGCCATAAGTCAAGTGAGACGGTGTCTTAGTGCAAAGGGGGCCAATTTTTTCGTTTTTTATTTTAAATGCGGGACATTACGTAAACGATGTAAGATCACGAAAATTCGATTTTTTATTTACATAAAACGATTACATAAAAAATTACAAAATAATTAGTGGTCCCCCGGAGCCCGATAAGGACTTGCGGTTCTGCATCCGCATCCTCACTTGTCCCGTGGTGGGTTTCATCGCGTTTCCTGTTGTGGCAGGGTCGATGGCCCAACAAAGTCAATGCATTATGGATCCATGAAATCGGTCAGGTCTCCATACCTAGAAGATCCACTTTGGTACAGTCGGTTACCCATACCCTCAAAGTTTGATCGTCTTGGTGGTGGGTGGGGTTCCATGGTTGGCCTATAGCATTGGTCGTCTGAGTAAGGAGAGTAGAAAGGAAATGAATCCTGGGGTGTTTGGTTTTGGGAATGTTGAGTCCTTTGGTGATGTGGTGGTTGATGGTAAGTTGGGTCGATTGGGTCATATTCTTCGGAAAATCCTAGTTCAGGGCTAAGGTTAGATATTTAGGGACCCATATTGGGATATGGAGAAGACTGGATTTGTGTGTGGGGCATGCGGGTGCATTGGTATTATGATTGAAATTGTGGTTGGGTGTGAGGCATATGGGGATATTGGTGTTGAGGTGGTGATTGTAGTTGGTTGTGGGGCATGTGGGTGTATTCGTATTGTGGTGGTGATTGTGGTTGGGTGGTTGTGGATCTGTTTCTTTGGGGAGGTTGATGTGTGTTGGGTTTGTTGTTGGGAAAATGAGGGTTGTTCCCATTGTGTTTGTGGGTCAACCAAATACCTTAGGTGAGAAACGTGTATTTCTGGGTTACTAACCGATCTGTACCAAGCTAAATATTGACCCGTGTGTCGCATATTACCATGGTTGTGGAAAAATGGGAATTTCAAGACATGTCAGTGACGCCTCTGCCACATCTTACACCATTCTGGAGCAAAATCTTTCCAATTGGTAAGACCCCATTGGGCGTCAACCCTTTTGAGATGCCACGAGGACAAACATGTTGGATCACAGGGTATCTCTTGATGTATTCCAAACCGCATCTTGACACGGTCGTTGTGGTGCATCTCCATAATGTTAAACCGTATGATTGCATTCTTTGTGCTCCAAATTGTTGCATCCTCGGAGTTTGTCTCATGGTCCAAACCTAAATATGGTCTCCAGATAAACTGTGGATAAAATTAAATCAGCTTAATGAAAATGTAATAAATAAATAATTTAAAAGTAGAAAAGTTCAAAGGTATGACGTACATCATCCGGGCCAAGGTGATCCAATAGATTGCGATATAGAGCGACATTGAATCTTAGATTCTTGCCGTAATCCATACTTGTTACGCAGTACCTAAAGAAATTGTAAAATAGTTTATTTTTATCATATATTTGGTGAACAGATTAATAGTAAATGATATTAGTTATTGATTTACTTTGTTGCGTATGAGAAAACGAATGCATTGTTGTTGACGGGGTTTAGGGACTCCATTCTCCATCAACTACAGGCTTAAAGTAAGAAAGTGCATCTATAAAAAGTATATTTTTCCTTGGTTGCATTTTTACACAAGGAACTATATAGATGGGCTAAAACAGCAGAACCCCAACTATACTTTCTAGTTTTTTCAAAGGTTCTAAGTAAATTTAAATACATGAAATTTACATTATTCCTCATACTTTCGGAAAATAAAAAGGTTCCAAAAA